CCACAGATATCCATCGGGCCGTCTTCTCCAGTCGCCAACCGGCACGATGGCGTACCCATGTGATTTTTCGCTAGATGGCGGGGCAGCCTTTCACGTGTGGCTAGCACGCCAGTTGGGCCCCAATTACCTGCGGCCGGCCGCAGTGCAGCGTGCCTCGGACTCTGCTACCCTCGACTGGACATCAGTGCGCGTCAGACCGGTCAGCCTACAGTGGAACAACCATCTCGACCCATCCTCTCTCCACCAGGATACACTGGACGTTGCGTGTGGTGCAGGGCGTACGAAGCGACGCCATGATCTAATGGTTTTGTATAACTCGATGTGTAGCCGTGTGACAGTACTATCGACAAAAATTATCACGACCCACTCGCTAATATGACGAAGACCAAGATCGTTACTATATTAAAAGTGTATAGGAGTATGAGTGCGTGGGGGGTCATAATTGAAAGTTGTCGATAGTACAAATGAGAATGACACATATACAGGGTGATGTAAAACAAAACGGATGAAATGATGTGTGTATGTATATGTCCATGCTCGAGTGACGTGGGTACGTACCGACGTAGGTGGGCACGTGGTGGCGGCGGTCGAGCGAGGCGGGGGGCGGGGGGTGGCGCGCGGGCTCGTACTCCGCGGGGGGGGCGCGGCCCAGCGTCAGCGTCGACGACATCAGCGCGCCGCCCTCCACGCTGCCCGCCGATACTGGGGGATGTAGTACTGGCGTCACTACACCGCACGGACGCAGCGTACAGAGACTAATATTTCGGTTGCTACTACTTGCAAAAATGTTAAAATGAAATTATGTTACTATAGTCAGAATTTTAATTAGATTCCAGATTTGACAATAGCTACTGTCATTTTGTGAAATAATGATACCACATATAATAGTGTAGTGATGAACACAAAAATCGATAAACAATCAGTGTGTGTGTTTTATAATAAATGTTACAGAAAGTGACAGGATAGCGATAGCGATGACGGCGACAATTTATAAAATAACTTATTACCATAATACATCTATCTGTTTTATTTGTCATGTTCCTTCATGATTACATTATTTTATTTATTTCACACACAATTATAAAAGAAAGGTCTTAGATCGTTAGTTAATCGTCAAAACTAAATTATCGGTTCAGAAATATTTAATTTCCTGATATACTTAGTTTACGGGAGTAATATTATAAACGAGAAAATTCGATCCAGAAATATTGCATTTCCATATCGAATAATTTCGCAACGTCACTATTTAGTACTTGTCATAACGTAGCAACACTGAAATTGTCAAATCTGGAATCGAATTAAAATTCCGAGTATAGACTAAAATTGTAGTAAAAAGCAAGTGAAATTTGAACTGCTTCAACTTTCGACTAAATGTTTTGTAAATAATCTCTAAAACATAAAATTATGTATGTAGAACAGAACGATGTCCGCAGTGTACAGTCGAGTACGTCGGTAGTATAGTGCATGTCGGTGTCGTACTCTTACTAGCGGAGCTGTGCAGCGACTTGTCCATGTGTTTGAGCTCCATCTGGTCGTGGTGGATCCACAGGTCCGGCGGCTTGATGGCGGCCGACGCGGACGACTTCTGGTACGTCGACGTGTCGGGGGACAGGGGGGGCGTGGTCCTCCGGCAGCACAGAGACAGGGCCAGCGCGGCCGCCAGCCCCAGCACGGCCACGGCCCCGCCGGCGCTGGCCCACAGCCAGGCCGACGTGGCGCTGGCCAGGCCCCCGCCGGACCCCGCCTCGGCCCCCGTGGTGTACGCTACAGGCGCACAGAAGGGGCCGAGCCCCTTGGAGTTCCGTGCCTGTAGCTTGAATAGATAGTTGGTGCGGGGGCGCAGTCTCTCCACCCTGGCGCGGGGCCGATCCCCGGGGGCCGCCACCGCCGTCCACTGCGGGGACGCGCCCGATACCGCGTACATTATCACGTAACCTGCAGAATAAAGTTAAGATCAACACGACGCAAACACTTATTAAATTCATTAATAGCTTTCTGCCCGAGGAACTTTCGATTAAACTTCTTAAAAAAAACTAGTACTTTGTGAATGTATCTTGAATTTGAAAAGACTTATCATAGACATTATTTCACAAGTAAGTTACGTCAATTTAAAATTGTTTTTGATTCCCATAGAGTGTAGTGAGCGGGGCAAAATACTCCGCTGAATCTCTTGTGACGACAAACTACAAAGTACAACAGGTATATCACGATTTATCGATATAATTTGACCTATATAATAAATACTGAAGTACTGACCAGTAATGACCCCGTTGGGTTTGGCGGGCGGCTGCCAGGCGAGGTCTACGGCGCGGGCGGGGGACGCGGGGGGAGCGGCGGGGGACACGCGCAACTCGCGCGGGGGGGAGCCGGGGGACGTCTCTAGAGTGGTGTTAGACACTAACATCGACCATGCTGACTCGCGACCTCCTGCACATACAAACATAGTGGTACACAGGACAAATACAAAGTAATACTATATTATTGTTTTTAAGCACGGGACAGGAGAAGGAATAACCACCGTATTTGGGCTGTAAGAGTCCTGACACTTTCTCTTCTCCCTCCTTAACAATTCAGTGGTTTTCCCCCTCATAAGAAGAGGACAAAACGAGCAGATTGATACACATAACACCAGAGGACTTACAAATTCATTGCCGGGCTCTAGAGGATTGAGGATTTGGGGTATTGACAGAGGGGGACTATCAATTTGGAGGTCCAGAGAGGACACGTTGACCACATTATTTCAACGTATTCTAGAGTGCGGAGCGGTGTGACATACCCTTGATAAGTTTGACGGCGAACTCGTAGGTGGTGTACGGTTTGAGGTCGTCGAGCATACAGTTGAGGTCGGTGGCGTTGAAGGAGCGCGCCCTGCCGCCGGCGCTGGCCCAGCGCACGACGTAGCGGCGGCCGTCCGTCGCCGTCTGGCCCTTGGCCAGCGTCGGGTCCGTCCAGTACACCACCGCCGTACTGCCGCTCAGCATTATCACCTGGCCATATACACAGCATATGTTATGAAACTGCTTTTGGAAAAAAAGGGGAAAAAATCCCATGAAATAAATCAACTATTTGTTTATATCTAAGACTGGGCAATTTTTCTCACATGGCCGGTTTAACCGGATTAATATTATGGCTTCACAATACATGGGCGTTAAGCAATGCATGCGTTGTGTTTTATCGTAAGAATCAGATCACTGGAAACTGGAATAAAATGTCCACTATCTATGGGCGACAATATTTGCTAACCTTCAGATGATTCGTCTACCATATCGCATAAACAAAAACTACTCAAGTATTCCCCCATACCTTAACCCCCACGGGGGGTATAAGCGGGGGTGGTTCGTCCTCCTCGTCCTCATCCTCTTCGTCCTCGTCCTCCGGTTCGTCCTCGTCGTCGGCGGGAGGTTTGGTCCTCACCGTGGCGTACACTGCGGGGCCCAGGCCGCGGGAGTTGCTCGCGCGGAGGGAGATCACGTACTCTGCGTTTGATTCTGTTACAAACACGATGGTAACATACAAATTAATGAGCTGTCTGAATGAATTTTCTATGAGACAAAGAGGATCTTACGTCACATTAGTGTCAGTCAGTACAATGATGTAAATCGAGTACTCAAAATTATTTTTTCTGTTGTGTGAATAAATAAATTGTATGTTCGACAAATAAAGAATAATAATTATAAGAATTTATATAGGACGACCGGTGTACTGGTCGTTTAGTTACTGCGTTAATGATTCAGTTGTTTATATTCTCAACACACCTGAGGCTTGTTTGGATGCATTATTGTTAGTTTTTGTAGATTTCTAGCTTACAGTAGTTACGGCGGTAAAGCCATAGTGGCTTTTCTATATTATGGCAGTTGAATTAACTAAAAATTACGAGTGACTCACGTAAATACACCGAGGGCTTAGTATGTGGTACGAGTTTGTTTTATGTTTAAAGTCATCGAAACGAGTACGCGTTCAGCGGCCTGATTGGTAGGTTCATCAGAGTAGGCCGCGCGACATCGCTATGAGGAAGAGTCCCTCTGTCACTCAAAATTAGTAGAGCTTTCCTTAGTACATTTGCGTTAGTAAACCATTATTTTTAGTTAATTCATTATGTGTTACCATAGTTATTATAAAAATGGTAGATTTAGTTGACAAAGGTGTTGAAGCATATATGAAGCGTGTAGTCACCGAGTCCGCGGATGACGTGCGAGTGCAGATGCGGCGGCAGCTCGCGCGCGGCGTCGTCGGGCACGCCGAGCCCCCAGCCCAGCACCAGCCCGCGCACCAGCACGCCGCCCTGCGCCGCGCCCCACCACACGCTGATCCAGTCGCGCCCCGCGCGCGCTGCAACCAGAGCGTTTGGCAACGGACCCGACTCGCCAGCCACATTTAGACAGGTTGTAGGGACTCGTGTAAGGATGTAAGGCAGAGTGAAAGGTCAGCATAATGTATGCGCGCGTGATGTATGGAACGGACGTTACTGCGCACTGACGTGAGTGGACGGACATCAGGGAATACGCGAAATATATTCGGCTTACACAACCCAACTTTCATTGACTCCAGACGAAGCAGTACTCAAACCGGTTATTATTATTTACGATTACCGGAAACAGGCTCACTTGTTGTATAATTCCTAAAAGGCTATAGATGTTGCCGACCGCTCCAGATGTTGAACCTTCAAAACATCAGTAAACCTAAGTCCGCTCAGATAAATTCCAGCTAACATTTTTCGTTATCAACAGTAAATACTTAAACTATCATCTAATAAATTACTGATGGAGAGGAAATCATTGAAGACAACATAAATTTCTTCATGTGACCAACATATCAGCCACAGGACGTCCTCTGCTGAACATAGGCCTACTACGGTACGTGGAAAGCGGGCGGAACACCGGTACTGAGAGTCTTCAACTCCGTCATATTCGAAGGAGTAACGCCGGCGGCATGGAGCAAAGGTGTGGTGGTGCTGTTCTTCAAGAAAGGAGATAATACTCTACTGAAAAATTACAGACCCATCTCACTTCTGAGCCATGTCTACAAGCTGTTTTCGAGGGTCATTACAAATCGTTTGACACGTAGGTTCAATGACTTCCAGCCTCCCGAACAAGCTGGTTCCCGGAAAGGCTATAGTACCATAGACCACATCCATGCGCTGCGGCAGTTATATCGATGACCGAGAAGTATAACTTGCCACTATGCTTAGCGTTTGTGGAGTATGAGAAACCCTTTGATTCAATCGAGACTTGGGCAGTGTTAAGATCTCTCCAGCGTTGCCATATTGATTATCGGTACATCGGGGTTTTGAAGTGCTTGTACACAAACGCCACTATGTCGGTCCGAGTACAGGACCGGAACACGAGGGATATTCCTCTGAAGCGAGGTGTAAGGCAAGGAGACGTCATATCTCCAAAACTGTTTACCGCTGCATTGGAAGACACCTTCAAACTTTTGGAATGGAAAGGATCTGGCATGAATGATCAACGGCGAGTATGTACATCACACACCTCATGTGACCAACTGACTTACAATCCACCGCTGTATAACCAGTTGACGTTTTTCTGTCTTCAAAATAAAATGCTGACAATAAATTAGATAAGTTTCCAATCGGGAAGAAATGAGTAAATAACAAGAACAACGTTATAATCATTAAGTAAGTAAGCAAAGAGTACGTACTGGTGAGCGGCGGCGGCGCGGGCGGCACGCTGGTCTCGTCGAGGTCGTGGCGCTGCGTGGCGGCCGACACCCACTCGCTGAACGGACCCGAGCCGTTCGCGTTGATGGCGCACACGCGGATCTACGGCGTTATACATGTACAGGTTACACGCGGGGCCGATACTTTACCCTACTCACTCGCTGAACGGACCCGAGCCGTTCGCGTTGATGGCGCACACGCGGATCTACGGCGTTATACATGTACAGGTTACACGCGTGGCCGATACTTTACCCTACTCACTCGCTGAACGGACCCGAGCCGTTCGCGTTGATGGCGCACACGCGGATCTACGGCGTTATACATGTACAGGTTACACGCGTGGCCGATACTTTACCCTACTCACTCGCTGAACGGACCCGAGCCGTTCGCGTTGATGGCGCACACGCGGATCTACGGCGTTATACATGTACAGGTTACACGCGTGGCCGATACTTTACCCTACTCACTCGCTGAACGGACCCGAGCCGTTCGCGTTGATGGCGCACACGCGGATCTACGGCGTTATACATGTACAGGTTACACGCGTGGCCGATACTTTACCCTACTCACTCGCTGAACGGACCCGAGCCGTTCGCGTTGATGGCGCACACGCGGATCTACGGCGTTATACATGTACAGGTTACACGCGTGGCCGATACTTTACCCTACTCACTCGCTGAACGGACCCGAGCCGTTCGCGTTGATGGCGCACACGCGGATCTACGGCGTTATACATGTACAGGTTACACGCGTGGCCGATACTTTACCCTACTCACTCGCTGAACGGACCCGAGCCGTTCGCGTTGATGGCGCACACGCGGATCTACGGCGTTATACATGTACAGGTTACACGCGTGGCCGATACTTTACCCTACTCACTCGCTGAACGGACCCGAGCCGTTCGCGTTGATGGCGCACACGCGGATCTACGGCGTTATACATGTACAGGTTACACGCGTGGCCGATACTTTACCCTACTCACTCGCTGAACGGACCCGAGCCGTTCGCGTTGATGGCGCACACGCGGATCTACGGCGTTATACATGTACAGGTTACACGCGTGGCCGATACTTTACCCTACTCACTCGCTGAACGGACCCGAGCCGTTCGCGTTGATGGCGCACACGCGGATCTACGGCGTTATACATGTACAGGTTACACGCGTGGCCGATACTTTACCCTACTCACTCGCTGAACGGACCCGAGCCGTTCGCGTTGATGGCGCACACGCGGATCTACGGCGTTATACATGTACAGGTTACACGCGTGGCCGATACTTTACCCTACTCACTCGCTGAACGGACCCGAGCCGTTCGCGTTGATGGCGCACACGCGGATCTACGGCGTTATACATGTACAGGTTACACGCGTGGCCGATACTTTACCCTACTCACTCGCTGAACGGACCCGAGCCGTTCGCGTTGATGGCGCACACGCGGATCTACGGCGTTATACATGTACAGGTTACACGCGTGGCCGATACTTTACCCTACTCACTCGCTGAACGGACCCGAGCCGTTCGCGTTGATGGCGCACACGCGGATCTACGGCGTTATACATGTACAGGTTACACGCGTGGCCGATACTTTACCCTACTCACTCGCTGAACGGACCCGAGCCGTTCGCGTTGATGGCGCACACGCGGATCTACGGCGTTATACATGTACAGGTTACACGCGTGGCCGATACTTTACCCTACTCACTCGCTGAACGGACCCGAGCCGTTCGCGTTGATGGCGCACACGCGGATCTACGGCGTTATACATGTACAGGTTACACGCGTGGCCGATACTTTACCCTACTCACTCGCTGAACGGACCCGAGCCGTTCGCGTTGATGGCGCACACGCGGATCTACGGCGTTATACATGTACAGGTTACACGCGTGGCCGATACTTTACCCTACTCACTCGCTGAACGGACCCGAGCCGTTCGCGTTGATGGCGCACACGCGGATCTACGGCGTTATACATGTACAGGTTACACGCGTGGCCGATACTTTACCCTACTCACT